AATGCCTTGACCGACACACACCACATTGTGAGACACCATTCAAGCACACACACAAGCACTAGATAGCAATGACATAGACTCACAAGTCACTCCATGCCATGCATGCACACACACGAACAAGGACGACAAGCCGAGTGCAAGCCGTAGGGTTGCACCAACAAACTCCCCATCGGATTGTTGGCCTTAGAATCTGCTCCCCTTAGTTCAAAGCCATCCTAGCAAGCTTGCAACACTTCCAATGCTGCTGCTCAACCAGCCTCTTGGTTATCATATCAGCAGGCTGCGCCGTCGTCTTCATGTAGTGCAACTCCACTTCATCTGCGGTTACCATGCTCCTCACCCAATGCCACTTCACCTTCATGTGCTTGGTGAGGCCATGAAGAACGGGGTTTTTAGCCAATGCAATAGCACCCTGACTATCACAATAGATTGGGGTAGGTCCGTGCTGCTCCTCCCCCAATTCAGTTAGCAAATGCCGCTACCACACAACCTCTCTTATGGCACAGAAGAGTGCCATGTACTCGGACTCCACCGAGCTCAATGCTTGGTCCACTTGTTTCTTGCTCTCCCAAGCTGTTGGGCCTCCACCAACACAGAAGATGAAGCCTCCCACACTTGTCATATACTCGGGTTCTGATGTCCAAGATGCATCAAAGAAAGCGGTGAGAAAGAGCCTCCTGGGTTCGACTCCATCCGCACCCTTTTGACGCCTTTGTGCCGCTGCGGAGTATTGCAGTCCTTGCTCAGGAACTCTCCCCCACGGTCAGTGCAAATCGCCTTCACAAGCTGGTCTTGTTGCCGCTCCACCATCGGCAACTAATCGGTCTTCACCGTTTCAGCTACGACACTCTTCTTGGGCAGCACATACACCCAAGTCATGCGAGTGTAGACGTCCACAATGGTAAAGGAAGTACTCTGCTCCAGCAGCTCCAAGCTTCAAGGGGCCCACCACATCCATCACCACCTCGTCAAGTGGTGCCTTCGCCGTTGTCTTCGAGCTATGGAACGGGTAGCGGGTGATTTTGGCTTGCATGCATGTTGGAGAGCCAAGCACCTCATTGGGCTCCCCCTTGACACGTATCCCGCTGACCATCTCTTGCTTAACTATCTGCTGCAAAATGGGTAATGCCACATGCCCCATTCGCCGATGCAAGGTCAGCCAATCACACTCTCCCATAGTGGAAGTCGGGTTGGAGAAAGCAGCACCTGCAAATGTGCCCCACAATCTCTCTCCATTCTCCTTTGCCACTGCTACTTTGCTGATCTTAGCCTTCTTCTCCTCATTTCCACCATCTTTCGCTGCTGCACCACTCTCCTTGGGTTCACACGCCTTGTTGGTCCCTCCAAGATTGCACTCCTTATAATCACTCTTGGTGTCACTTTGCTTTCCGTGATCACCGCCACCAACCGCTTTAGTCTTGGTGTTGACGCTTGCTGCGACTTGCCTCTTCTTAGGCATGGGGATCACTGGAATTTGCCACATCTCATTGGATATGTCCTTTTTCCTCAGAAAAGGTCTCAAAGCCTCCGCTCACCAAGCCTCGCGGTATAAGTTTTGGATCCCTTGGAAGATGTGTCCATGCCGGCCTTCTGCAAACGGCGTACGGAAATCAGGTTTGCTGCTAGTTTGGGCACCCAAAGCATGTTCTTGAGGCCCACCATCTTCCCATCAGTACCCTTGAACACCTTTCCCATGCCTTTCACCTCTGCTCACTGCCCCAAAGCAGATGTAACATGCTTGACCGGCGAGGGTTCGAGTTCGGTGAGCAAGTCCGCACGAGGTGTCATGCTACAGGAAGCGACGCTATCAATCACCCGAAAGTCCAGAGAGTGAAGGGTGACCTTTCCCACAGTAGCTGGCTCCTCAAAGCCTTCCACACCTTCTGCTGCACCTGCCGCTTGCATGGAGACAAAGAATAATTGGCCCGGGTATCGATCTTCACTCCGGTCCGTCTCGTAGTCTCCACCTTTCATGCTTGCCGCTTCGCTTCCACGACCACCACGGCCTCCACGAACTCTGCCTCTTCCTCCCCTTGCTCCTCTGCTGTCTTGGCCTTTAGAAGGGGTTCATTCATCAGGCAATCTGAAGCAATCTCTTCACATGTGGCCGGTCTTGTGGCAAAAGTGACATTCACCATCAAATCAACCGCGCCCACGCCCGTAGCCATTGTTGTTGTTGCTGCCATATCCTCCATTACCACGGCCTCTATTGAAGTTACTGCTGCCAAATCTGCCTCCTCGCCCTCTGCCCCTTCTATGGCCGTGCCCACGGCCCATGCTTGCAACTCCGGCACCACCGGGACCCGCCAATTCGCGACGGCGGAAATCTTCTTGTAAGATTTCCCGCTTCACATCTTCGAGCGAGAGGGGGGCAAGATCTCAATTTAGGTAGATGATGAGCGAAGACCATGAGTCTAGAAGGAAGGCCAGCAGCTTGGTCTTATTTCGAAGGTCACTGTAGTTCAGGTCAGCTCCTTCGAGCCGTGTCAACAAGTCGAAGAATTTCTGCACTCCTTCCTCCATCGGTTCGCCTTCGTCAAATCGAAGTGTCGCCATTTGCTGCTCCAAAACTACAGCCACCGTCGTTGTTGCAGGAGCGTGTACACCCTTGAGAGCAGCCCATGCCTTTGGTCCCTTTGCTGGTTCACGCTGAAAAGGCTTGATGTGACGGATTTGGCTGCTCCCCAACGCTTGCCCAAGTAGAAGGTAGCCTTGTGCGCTCTTCCGCACCCACTGGCTCTTCTCCGGATCGTTCTCGGGGCGCTTCTCTGTTCCTTCCATCACCTCCAGCAGATCATAGTGGTCGAAGATGTTTTCCATCTTGAAGGACCACTCAGCAAAGTTGTCACCGTTGAACTTGTCAAGGCCAAACACTCTAGGCTCATCCCTAGAGGGGCCAAGGCTAGGTTGCACGGGAGCAACGGGTGGATCTTGGTCTTGACCTCGTGCTTGGGCATCTTCTCTGCCTCCAGCATCACTTCCACGCCCTTCCACAGATCTAGGCATGGTCGAAATGGCTCCAAATGGCTCTGATACCACTTGTTATAATTACAACAGGCTCAGATGTGCCTAAAATGAGAAATAGAGTGGGCAATTGGACTTCCGTCAGACATATTCAAATATTGATACCGATCTCACCTATGCCTCAAACGGTTATCTGTAAGTTGAATCTAGAGCGCGTTGCTGTCATCTATCAGCAGCAAGTCGAATCATGAAATTCCATAAAGATTTGACGATGCTATGGCAGTTTTTTTAGCATGAGGTATAGTCTTAGACGTACAAAGTTAGGAAGAAGAATCGAGATTGAGATGGTTCCCAGCCTCTACAAGCCCCAAGAGCCAAGGTCTAGGTTGGTGGTACACCACCACAGAGTCCCCAACCACGAAGAGTCTCGAAACAAACCCAACAAGGGGCCACACCAAGTGAAATGTAACACTACACGAAGTAGCATTACAATTTTCACTATTTTTATACTTATCCGAGTCCCTTGGGCATAAAATCTTGAGCTCTTGGTCTTGCTTCTGCAAGATAAATTCTTTTTGAGTTGATGAGGGCATGCTGCACTCACATGCGACGCAATGGATACTTCACACTCGACAAAATGGGAAAAACACATGCGACGCACAAACGACGACTTGACATGCGAGTTGTGAAAACTCGCTAATGTCTTTACTGACACAAACCACATTGTGATACACCATTCAATCACACACACAAGCACTAGATTGCAATGACATAGACTCACAAGTCATTCCATGCCATGCATACACACACACAAACAAGGACGACAAGCCGAGTGCAAGCCATAGGGTTGCACCAACACCTTCTTGCTCACAGACTTAGTTGAGCGGCCTAGCTCAGCCCCGGTCCTGTACGCTGACAACAGGGCCATGATCCTCATGTGTCGGGAGCCTCGACTGGAGGGCAGAATGAAGCACATCCAGCTGCAGTACTTCCTCCTGCGCGAGCTGCAACTACGCCGTCAGGCCCGCGTAGTACACTTGGCCTCAGGTGCCAACACATCTGATTTCTTTAGGAAGGCGCTTGCGCCTAAAGTTCATCAGCGGCACTGTGTACAGCTTGGTCTAGTTCCTGTAGCTTCTCACTTGTTAGGATCTTGATTGTGAACTATTTTTATATTATCTTGACTGGTCTTGTGGCTCTTGTCCCATAGGCTGGACGAATAGTACTTCTCTATGTTCCACATGATTAGTTTATACTCTTGCTGACTGGTCTTCGGACCCCTGCCTCAGTGGTTGGACTAATAGTGCCACATTGAGCTGTGTGTCTTGTGCCAGGCACTGCCCCTCCTCTAGCTTAGGTGGTGTCTCATGTCAGAAACCCAGTCACTAACCACTGGGTTAAAAGGGCTTGTTGAATAGCGGGTAAGTGCGCCCATAGCCCCCCAGGCTCTGCACCTGTGGCCCTTCCCCGAGGATCTCAAGGGCAACCCCAGCGGGTCACTCAACACCCCCCCCGCTGGGATAGGTGGAAGACACGAGCGCCTCTGCAACGCTGGCACTGGGAATTGAACCCAAGACCTTTGGCTCTGATACCATGTCAGAAACCCAGTCACTAACCACTGGGTTAAAAGGGCTTGTTGAATAGCGGGTAAGTGCGCCCATAGCCCCCCAGGCTCTGCACCTGTGGCCCTTCCCCGAGGATCTCAAGGGCAACCCCAGCAGGTCACTCAACATCTCAAGCATATTTGTATATGTTATTATAGGCTAGATAGATGGATGCTCTTAGAGGGTACAAAACCAACCTGTTTGCCTTATTCTAGCAAATTATTCTACTCAGAGTATTTCCTAATCAGTTACAATCTAAGTTGGTGTTTTTCCCCCATTTCTAAGACTTTTAGAAAGAATCGCTAGGGTTGATATAACAAGACCCATAAGTCTTCTATCCGGTCGGTATGCAGGACAGAGTCCCAATATTTTGTGTTATCCCCCTTGTAGTCTGCACCTAGCTAGCTTTCGTACATACAATTTAAATACACTAACTGGCGGCATCTTTCTGATATTCACAGTTCACGCGAACTACGCTAACTGCAAAACTAGCAGGAATGTATATATATGCAGATACACCGCAACACTACACAGCAAGCATGCACACATCGGACAACCAAACCATAGCTGAATTACATTCTACAAGTCGCTACTCAGCCCACCACGCAGTCCAGCAAAACAAAGCGCTGTACACAAAATGTCTTGCCACCTGGCGCCAACACAACCCTCTCGCCATCCATCATTTCGCCCTCACCGCCTCCTCAGCTTCTGCTGCAATGAACTGGTTCCCACAACCGCCTCACCCGAACATGGGAACACTCCCTCGTCCCAGTTATGTGACACCTTATTATGGAATCACGTACAGTTATCATGTCTGTGCACCAGTAGCCCTCGCCACTCTAGCTGGCCCCTTGCCAGCGAGTCAGATGCACTTGTAGCCCTTGCAGCTGCGAATGAACGGAATGCAGATGCGCCCAGGGCAGGAGTTGCTCGAGCACAGACGGCGCTTCTTCTTGCACTCTGGAGGGGCGCGTGCTACTGGCAGAGCAAGTGCGGAGGAGAGGGGGGTGTGGTGGATGTGACAGAAGCCGTATGAGTGCATGTGCTCGGAAGTGGAATGAGGGGGGCATCTAGTCCCCGACTCGTGCATTACTAGACATACCACCAGAGCATTGAATGGCACATCACCCTCTGGACCCTTCCATTACAACACACACCCACGCCCCCACACCCCCACACGCACGCACGCACTCACCGACCCGTGATGCGGGCATGTGGCTCCAAGCAAGAGCACACACACAGCGGCATGCACGGTGCGGTCGCACGTCATTATTATTCCCTGGTCTTGTGTTGCCTAACAGCTCTCCTCTGCACACTCCCCTTCACTCCTCCCAACTCGCTTCCCTTCCCACACACACCCCTTCCAGATGCTTCCCCTGCCGCACCCTTCTGCTCACCCTTGGTGCACGTGTTGCAGAAGTTCGAGCAGGCGCGGCAGAAGGCTGTGCCTGAGTACTGCACCACCTCGCACCGCCCAGCACCGCACGGCGTCGCAGTGAGGTGCACGTAGCTGCGAGGGGGGGAAGGTACAAGAGGGATGAAAGGAGAGGGATTCCAGAGTTCTATGACCATGCAGCAAGTATCAAAAAGAGTGAGGACGGGCAGCGGAGGTTCGGAGGGGAGGGAAAAATGTCAATGGTGGGAGGATTTCAGGCTAGATGTGAAATGGAAAGGAGGGGGCGCGAGTGATTTACAGAGTCTGCAGATTGAGCATGGAGCCCATGGTAGCAGGGATAGAGCCAGAGAGTGTTGGAATATGAAGGTCACTGTTGGCCATGGATGGTGATGATGCATGGTGGCACGTGGCATATGAATGGTGGCATGTGGAATTATGCATGGTGGCATGCACAGCAACAATGCAGCAGAATCAGAAGGAAGGGGTGCCAGGCAGGGGGAAACAGGGAGATGAATTGAGTCCAAGGAACGGAAGGAGAGAAGGAAGTCGAAGGAATGGGCGAATCAGATGACGTGGAGGCGAGTCAGGTGTGAAGGGGAAAAGGGGGTGCATGGACACCTTGGGCTAATATGGGCTGGTATTGCATGACACATTGATTTCCTGTCCTACGCCCTGGCGAAGGCATGTTACAGGCGAAACAAGAAGGAACGCAATATTACAAGCAGGATAACTGGCAGAACATTACAGGTGGGATAAGTTTCTCAGTTTGGTGATGGTGGTTGGGATAGTGCCTGCCAGGTTCGTTGAACAGAGGTTACTGGAGGAAACGAGAAAGGGCGTGAGGGAGGAAGGGGGAAGGGGGAGGTAGATACGATTAAGTTTGCTCACAAGTTTCACTGTCTGCTTCAGTGCATTCATTCAACCCCGGGGCAGTCTGCTTCAGGTTGCCCTTGAAGTCGTTTTTGAAGTCGTTGAAGTCGTTGAACCCCGGCCGTTAAAGTAGTTTTTTACCAACCCCGGGGCAGTCTGCTTCAAATTGCGCTTGAAGTCGTTTTTGAAGTCGTTGAAGTCGTTGAACCCCGGACCTTGAAGTCGTTTTTTAACAACCCCGGGGCAGTCTGCTTCAGGTTGCCCTTGAAGTCGTTTTTGAAGTCGTTGAACCCCGGCCCTTGAAGTCGTTTTTTAACAACCCCGGGGCAGTCTGCTTCAGGTTGCCCTTGAAGTCGTTTTTGAAGTCGTTGAAGTCGTTGTATCCCGGCCCTTGAAGTCGTTTTTTAACAATCCAGGGGAGTCTGCTTCAGGTTGCCCATTGCCTGTGGCACTCTCTCGCTTCTAGTGCTCAGCTCCAGTGCTCAGCTCAAGTGGGCAACTCAAGTGGGCAACTCAAGTGATCAACTCAGGAGAGGCGCACTCACAGGTATGTGAGCGACGTAAGAGAGCCTATGGATGCAAGGATGCTGCCATTGAAGTCGTTGAAGCTCAGGTCCCTGCACACATGGGACGGTGGGCGAGAGCGGAGATGCGGGGAAGGAGGCGGTGAGGGGGGGGAAGAAGGAGGAGGAGGCAGAAAGCATCTAAATTGTCCTCACATGCAGATGAGAGGGTGACGTGCGGCTGCAGCGATGTGGGGCCGATGCGGTGCGCTATGCTGTGACCCAGCGCTGACTGACGAGCTCATCAAGGGATGAGACGAAAGCCACAATGATTTGGTTCCCAGAGGTGCGCAAAAACTCTGGCAGATTTACACACACGTGTGCAAACACCTCAAGCATTTAGACCTTACCCTCTTGCTTCTGCCAAAGTTGCTACTTTCGAGTACACTCAAAATCCACCAGTTGTGCGACCCCTGAAGCTGCCCGTGATATTTACTGTTCGCCCTAAGCATACCTCCTCCTGTCGCTGCTGCTCCTCTGGTGTCTTTGTCCCAAGAACTGCTAGTCGCTGTTCGCCCTATGTATGCCTCACGCATATGCAAGCAGCAATGCCGCAAGTAATAAGCTGCACTCAGCTACTCACATCCGCTCAGCTACTCACATGTACTCAGCACGCTTCATCTTTGTGAAGGCAGGTGGAAAGGCCTCTGAAAATGAATTCTTCTGCAACTCTCTGAGGTAAGGGAGGGGGAGGGAGAGGGAGAGGGAAAAGGAGAGGGAGAGGAAGAAAGAGACAGAGAGGGAGAGAAAGAGGAAGAGGGAGAGGGAGAGGAGGAGGGAGAGGAGGAGGGAGAGGTTAGGGAGAGGTGAGAGAGAAAGGCGGACGTCGAGGGCACAGCCATGGGCATGAGCAAACACTGAAGTCCAACGGAGGCACAGATGGACTTCAGCCCCCGGGAAGCAGGCTGAAAACTGTGATACCTCTGCGGCCTTCAGCCTTTACCCCCTCCCTTTTTCGCCCCCCTCCCTTCTCCAGGCCCCCCTCTTTCACACAGCTGTAAACCCACCCACCCCACGCCCACCCACCCTGCCACGCCTCACAGGTTCTCCCACCCGCCCATCCAGAAAATCGTTTCCTTTTGCGCCATCAGAGAACCTTGCTCAGTCGCAGCGCACCATACCATAGCGACCATGTGAGGTGAGCCGCTCAACGGCCGCAATCTGCATACCATGGACCATAGAGTACCATAGAGCACACATGCCGCCTCACATGTGCTTCAACGGCCTCAGTGCTCTCGAGCATGGGGGGAGTTCGCAGCACAAACGGCAACGTGCCTGCTCTTGGGTTAACTGTAGAGAAGATGCTCTGGAGAATCTCTCAAGGGATATCACACATTCACAAAGTTGCTGCCCTATTTGCAAAGTTGCTGCCCTATTCGAAAAGTTGCTGCCCAATTCAAAAAGTTGCTGCCTGGCACAGAGCCTGGAACTCACAGAGACATCAAGGCAGTCAGTGTACTCAATCCTTGGGGGATGGGCGACTCCAATTGGTTGTAGTGGAGCATGCTGGAACCGGGGGAAAGAGGGGGGAAGCAGGGACAGGAGGAAGGCGGGGAGCGGGCAGGATGAGAGAGAAGGGACAAACGGTGGCACATACAGAGAGGGCAGGGGCGGCACATACAGAGAAGGCGGCACATACAGAGAAGGCGGCACATACAGAGAAGGCGGCACATACAGAGAAGGCGGCACATACAGAGAAGGCGGCACATACAGAGAGGGTGGCACATACAGAGAGGGCGGCACATACAGAGAAGGCAGCACATACAGAGAAGGCGGCACATACAGAGAAGTAAGGCACATACAGAGAGGGTGGCACATACAGAGAGGGCGGCACATACAGAGAAGGCGGCACGTCCAGAGAAGGTGGCACGTACAGAGAAGGTGGCACATACAGAGAAGGCGGCACATACAGAGAAGGCGGCACATACAGAGAAGGCGGCACATACAGAGAAGGCGGCACATACAGAGAAGGTGGCCCATTGAGAGAAGGCGGCAGATACAGAGAAGGCGGCAGATTCAGAGAAGGCGGCACATACAGAGAAGGCGGCCCATACAGAGAAGGCGGCACATACCGAGAAGGCGGCCCATACAGAGAAGGCGGCACATACAGAGAAGGCGGGACATACAGAGAAGGCGGCACATATAGAGAAGGCGGCACATACAGAGAAGGCGGCACATACCGAGAAGGCGGCCCATACAGAGAAGGCGGCACATACAGAGAAGGCGGCACATACAGAGAAGCAAGGCACATACAGAGAAGTAAGGCACATACAGAGAGGGTGGCACATACAGAGAGGGCGGCACATACAGAGAGGGCGGCACATACAGAGAAGGCGGCACATACAGAGAAGGCGGCCCATAGAGAGAAGGCGGCAGATACAGAGAAGGCGGCAGATTCAGAAAAGGCGGCACATACAGAGAAGGCGGCCCATACAGAGAAGGCGGCAGATACAGAGAAGGCGGCACATGCAGAGAAGGCGGCACATACAGAGAAGGCGGCACACACAGAGAAGGCGGCACATACAGAGAAGGCGGCACGTACAGAGTAGGCGGCACATACAGAGAAGCAAGGCACATACAGAGAAGTAAGGCACATACTGAGAGGGTGGCACATACAGAGGGGGCGGCACATACACAGAAGGCGGCACTTACAGAGAAGGCAGCACATACAGAGTAGCGGCACATACAGAGAAGGCGGCACATACAGAGAAGAAAGACACATACAGAGAAGGCGGCACATACAGAGAAGGCGGCACATACAGAGAAGGCGGCACATACAGAGAAGGCAGCACATATAGAGAAGGCGGCACATACAGAGAAGGCGGCACATACAGAGAAGTCGGCACATACAGAGAAGGCGGCACATACAGAGAAGGCGGCACATATAGAGAAGTCGGCACATACAGAGCAGGCGGCAAATACAGAGAAGGCGGTACATGCAGAGAAGGCGGCACATACAGAGAAGGCGGCACATACAGAGAAATAAGGCACATACAGAGAGGGTGGCACATACAGAGAGGGCGGCACATACAGAGAAGGTGGCACATACAGAGAAGGCGGCACATACAGAGAAGGTGGCACATGCAGAGAAGGCGGCACTTATAGAGAAGGCGGCACATACAGAGAAGGCGGCACATACAGAGAAGTAAGGACATACAGAGAAGGCAACACATGCAGAGAAGGCGACACATATAGAGAAGGCGGCACATACAGAGAAGGCGGCACATACAGAGAGGTCGGCACATACAGAGAAGGCGGCACATACAGAGAAGGCGGCACATACAGAGAAGGCGGCACATACAGAGAAGGCGGCACATACAGAGAAGGCGGCACGTACAGAGAAGGCGGCACATACAGAGAAGCAAGGCACATACAGAGAAGTAAGGCATATACAGAGAGGGTGGCACATACAGAGAGGGCGGCACATACAGAAAGGGCGGCACATACAGAGAAGGCGGCACATACAGAGAAGGCGGCCCATAGAGAGAAGGCGGCAGATACAGAGAAGACGGCAGATTCAGAAAAGGCGGCACATACAGAGAAGGTGGCCCATACAGAGAAGGCGGCACATACAGAGAAGGCGGCACATGCAGAGAAGGCGGCACATACAGAGAAGGCGGCACACACAGAGAAGGCGGCACATACAGAGAAGGCGGCACGTACAGAGTAGGCGGCACATACAGAGAAGCAAGGCACATACAGAGAAGTAAGGCACATACTGAGAGGGTGGCACATACAGAGGGGGCGGCACATACACAGAAGGCGGCACATACAGAGAAGGCAGCACATACAGAGTAGCGGCACATACAGAGAAGGCGGCACATACAGAGAAGTAAGACACATACAGAGAAGGCGGCACATACAGAGAAGGCAGCACATACAGAGAAGGCGGCACATACAGAGAAGGCGGCACATTCCGAGAAAGCGGCCCATACAGAGAAGGCGGCACATACAGAGAAGGCGGCACATACAGAGAAGGCGGCACATATAGAGAAGGCGGCACATACAGAGAAGGCGGCACATACAGAGAAGGCGGCACATAAAGAGAAGTCGGCACATACAGAGCAGGCGGCAAATACAGAGAAGGCGGTACATACAGAGAAATAAGGCACAAACAGAGAAGGCGGCACATACAGAGAAGGCGGTACATACAGAGAAGGCGGCACATACAGAGAAATAAGGCACATACAGAGAGGGTGGCACATACAGAGAGGGCGGCACATACAGAGAAGGCGTCACATAGAGAGAAGGCGGCATATACAGAGAAGGTGGCACATGCAGAGAAGGCGGCACTTATAGAGAAGGCGGCACATACAGAGAAGGCGGCACATACAGAGAAGTAAGGCACATACAGAGAAGGCGGCACATACAGAGAAATAAGGCACATACAGAGAGGGTGGCACATACAGAGAGGGCGGCACATACAGAGAAGGCGTCACATAGAGAGAAGGCGGCATATACAGAGAAGGTGGCACATGCAGAGAAGGCGGCACTTATAGAGAAGGCGGCACATACAGAGAAGGCGGCACATACAGAGAAGTAAGGCACATACAGAGAAGGCAACACATGCAGAGAAGGCGACACATATAGAGAAGGCGGCACATACAGAGAAGTGGGCACATACAGAGGAGGCGGCACATACAGAGGAGGCGGCACATATAGAGAAGGCGGCACATACAGAGAAGGCGGCACATACAGAGAGGCCGGCACATACAGAGAAGGCGGCACATACAGAGAAGGCGGCACATACAGAGAAGGCGGCACATACAGAGAAGGCGGCACAGACAGAGAAGGCGGCACATACAGAGAAGGCGGCACATACAGAGAAGTCGGCACATACAGAGAAGGCGGCACAAACAGAGAAGGCGGCACATACAGAGAAGGCGGCACATACAGAGAAGGCAGCACATACGGAGAAGGCGGCCCATACAGAGAAGGCGTCACGTACAGAGAAGGCGTCACATACAGAGAAGGCGGCACATACAGAGAAGGCTGCAC